ACTTCATAGGAAAGGTAAAGTTAAATTAATCCTAAAATGGAGCAAATGGCATTTAAATACAAACATTTTGAATAAGCTGCACACACAGCACTAGTGTGCTGTTGCCACAGAGGGGCGGTGAGGGCCCTCAGCCGCATCACCGTGGCACACTTAAAAAAGGGGGCTGGCTGATTGCGTCTTAAACAGCTTCCTCAATGGCTCATGAGCTCAGTGCACTGAGGTCTTTTTAAGACTAGTCATAAAATGCATACTTTTCCAATACATAGAGTTTGTTGAGGGATCCCCCCGCCCCCACAACGAATAATTACTTACAGTTCCTAGTGTATATCAACAATTTAGAAAAACAAAATCTTGGCATTTAAATTTTGAACAAGCTGGTAAAACCATCAGTCTTTCTCTATGATTGCCTTTTGAAGTCATTACTATCTGACCATTGTCTGGATTAGTTCTGGTTTTCAGGTGCAGTGATTGCTAAGAATTCAAAGTCAGCTAATACATGGAATTCCTACTGATTTCTGTGCTCCATTATTTAGTTACTATGATGTCTTAGTTTTTATGACACTTAATAATTTTGTGTTGTTGACATATGGTCTTTCTAACTTACCTGTGATCCCTGGTTCTTTCTGTTCAAAGGATTGTTACTTGATTTCACCAGCCTTAAAAGTCTAGGTATAGCATCGATGTTATCTTGAATAACGTAGCTTACCAAGTTTAGCTTTGATATTCAATAACCTATACTCTCCTTTTCTGAGAGAAGGACTTGCCTTTTTATAAAAGCCATCTTTAGTCTGTTATTGGGTAAAATCTGCATGGACTCTGCTGTTGATAGTATTCATTGTGAATTCAGACTGATAAACTATAGATTCTAGAAATGCCTCCTGAATCTTGTTATTGGGTAAAATCTGCATGGACTCTGCGGTTGATAGTATTCATTGTGAATTCAAACAATGAATTCTATAAACTATAGATTCTAGAAATGCCTCCTGAATCAGAAAAAAAGATAAAAGTAATGTCCAGTAGTATATGAAAGTTGATGATGTGTTATTTCCCAAGTTTTGATTACCATCATATCATAATAATTATTGCAAAGTTATTTGCTAAGCTTAGTTCACTTTATCAAACTTTCCCATTTTCCAACCATTCTGAGCAGTTTCCCTGGTTGAAGTTCCTCTTTTTGTACCAAATATGGCAGAGTTTTTTCATAATGAGCTCAATTGTCAATAGTGTTGATCTGCTACTTAAATTCAGGCTTCACTGTTATTAAACTTTCCATTTGTTCTTGATTTGACTAAACAAGAGTAAAAATAATATTCAAATCTTAGTCTCCCATTTAGGAGCATTTGGCCCAGGAGATTACCCACACAAGCTCTGTTTTATATATATTCGTTAAGTGACTAAATCTAGGGCCATTTAAACATATACCTGAAAGGCTACCATACCCAGATGCCTTACCTGGAGAGACAAAACTTCATTTTATTTTTTTAATATATTTTTTATTGGTATCAGAGAGGAAGGGAGAGGGAGAGAGGAATAGACACATCATTGATGAGATTCATTGATCGGCTGCCTCCTTTATTTATTTATTGTTAAATAAATAAACCCCTGCTGCTCTTAATTCAGTGTCTACCCTTCATTGACACTATGACAGAGGATCAAACATGTTAAAAAGCAACCATTAAAACCCTTACAAATTATATTAGCAAATTGAATCTGAGAGTATACAAAAAAGAGGAATGCATCATGACCACGTGGGATTTACCCTGGAAGCGCCCCATTGGTTCAACGTGGGAAAGCCAATAAATAAAACTCAACATATTAACAGAATAAATAAGGAAAACCATATGACAATCTCAATAGATGCAGAAAAATCATTTGAAAAAATCAACATCCATTCATGATTTTAAAAAAACACACAACAACTAGTAGAAAGGAACGTCCTTACCTGAAAAAGATGATCTACAAAAAATCTAGAGCTAATATTACACTTAGTGGTGAAAGACTGAATGCTTTCCCCCTAAAATTGGGAACAAGACAAGAATAAATGTTTTCAACACTCCTTTTCAACATTGTGCTGGAGGTTCTAGCCAATGTAGTCAGGCAAGAAAAAGAAATAATACTGTCTATTTTAACCTAAGATGCAGTTGTCTCTGTGACAGAGAAAATCCCAAAGAATTTATGGAAGAAAATACTAAAACTAATAAGTGAATTTAGCAAAATTATAAAATAAAAGATCAATATACAAAATCAATCAACCTTCTTTTTAGAGACCCTTATACCATAGTTTTATTATATCGTTAATGATTATCTTATATAGTTTTTACAAACAAATACACTGGATGACTTTCAGTCTTATTCCAAACTTTTATTTCCTTTAAAAGAATTTAAAGACACTACTATTTATAAAAACATCAAAAAACATGAAACTTGGGTATAAATCTGTGTACATCTGTATGGTCAAAACAAGACACTGATGAGGGAAATCAAAGAAGATGTAAATAAATGAAGTGATGACTCAATGTTGTTAAGATGCCAATTGTTCCTAAATTGATTTATAGATTCAAAGTAGTCCCAGTCAAACTCCGTCTGGACTTTTGGTAGAAAGGGACAAACTGACTCTAACATTTAAATGGAAAGGCAAAGGAACTAGATGAGCCAAGACAATTTTGAAAAAGTTGGAAGAGTCACACCACCTGATTTCAAGCAGTGGTTCTAAGCCGGGGTTGATTTTGCCCCTTTCTCCCCCCGAGGACATTTGACAAAACAGAAAACATTTTTTATTGTCACAGGTGTTTTTTGTTTTTTGTTTGGGGGTGGGGGCAGGAGTTGCTCCTGCTACTGGCATCTAGTGGGTAGAGGCCACGCATGCTGCTAAACATTCTGTAATGCACAGGAGCAAAGAGTTGTCTGGCCCAAAATGTCAGAAATGTCACTGCAGAGCTACCGTAGTAATCAAAACAGTGGGGTATTGGCACAGAGACAGACATATATCAATAGAGAAGCCAGAAAGTGATGTGCACACAATGGTCAATTAATTTTTTAATAAGATTTAAAAGCAATGCAATGGAAAGAAGACAGTCTTTCATCAAATAGCATTGGAAAAATTAGACCTACATATGGAAAAAATATATGTTGACACATACTTTACACTGCATTCAAAAATAACTCAATGAATCATAGACTTAAATGTAAAATATAAAACTTCTGGAAGAAAACATAGGAAAAAATATATGTGAACTTGGGTTAAATAAAGATTTCTTAAATAGATATAATATATATAGTACAATCCAGAAAGTAACAACTTGGTAAATTGAACTAATTCAAAATTAAAAACTCTTGCTCTTCAAAAGACACTGTTAAGAAAATTCAGAGACAAGCTACAGATTGGGAGAAAATTACAAATGACATGTCTGGTAAAGAATTTTATGTAAAATAGATAAAGAACTCTCTAAACCCGCCGAAACCGGTTTGGCTCAGTGGATAGAGCGTCGGCCTGCGGACTGAAAAGTCCCAGGTTCGATTCCGGTCAAGGGCATGTACCTGGGTTGCGGGCACATCCCCAGTAGGAGATGTGCAGGAGGCAGCTGATCGATGTCTCTCTCTCATCGATGTTTCTAACTCTCTATCTCTCTCCCTTCCTCTCTGTAAAAAATCAATAAAATATATTTTAAAAAATCAATAAAATATATAAAAAAAAAAGAACTCTCTAAACCCAATAATAAGAAAGTCAACAACCGAGTGGAGAAATGAGCAGGAGGTTTGAATAGACACTTCACCAAAGCTATACAGATGCAAATAAGCACGTGAAAATTTACTCAGCATCATTAGTGAGACCCCATTCAAACGGGCTTAAACAGGAAAGGTCAAATAAATTGGCTTCCATTAGGAAATTCCACAGAGAGGTTGGCAGCAATCAATCCAAGCATTTAATAATACTATTGCTTTGGGAGGTAGGGGGAGCCCTCCACTCTGTTACTAAGGGTGACAGGCCCCTGACTCTTCATGAGGTGGATGTCAGCCCCAATCAAACTACATGTTGCCTCTCTTATGTCCAGTCTGGTGAGAGCACTTCTGTCTCCAAATCCCAAGCTATCCAATATATACCCTGATTGGCTGATTTAGGTCACATGTCCACCCATGATGGAGCAATGCCTGTGGCCAGGTAATAGATTTATGCTGATTACTTTAAACCTGAGCCACATGCCCCAACCCTGTCATGGATAGTGTTAGCTTCCTCAAAAGTTTAAAAATTTTAAGGAGGCAAGGTAAGTACGCAAACTTCAGCAAATAGAAATCTCCAACGGAAGGTGGAAAGGATGCTGGTGAAGGAGGCATAATGCCTACTACATGTCATCGCTGAATTGTTCTGAGATGTTTAATTTGGGTTAAAGTCATGCTTAGTAATCCCCCATGTGTCAGCATTGTCATCATTCCTCAAAAAGGAAAAAAAAATTTCTAATTATATTTATAAAAAGAGAACTAAGAACAAAAATTGAGAGCCTGTGAGAGGCTATTAGTGTCAGTTTCTTCCTTGCAATTCACTACAGAGTCATACAATGTGTGACCCTTGGTTTCTGCTTGCAAACATGCCTGGCATTTTTTAATGAGCCATTTACAAGCATGTATGTTAGTGTCTAAAAATATTCCATGTTTTGGCCCTGACCAGGTAGCCTAGTTGGTTAAAGCATTGTCCCAATTCACCAAGGTTTCAAGTTCAATCCCCGGTCAGGGCACATAGAAGAATAAACAAATGAATGCATAAATAAGTGGAACAACACATCAGTGTTTCTCTCTCTCCCTCTCCTTCTCTCTCTTTTTATCTCTCTCTTTTTCTCTCCCTCTCTAAAATCAATAAATTTAATAAATAAACAAATAAATAAAAATATTCCATGTTTTGACATTTTCCTCCTAGCCATCTTAACCAGCTATGCATTCTGCAAGGACACGCTGTTTTGTTCCTTAGTAACACTCCTTTCTGGCCCATGGCCGCCTTCTTTGGTCAGGATGTGCTCATGGAGCTCCTTGAGCAGTGTGCCGATGGACTCTGGAAGGCCGAACGCTACGAGCTGATTGCTGACATCTATAAACTCATCATCCCCATTTATGAGAAGCGGAGAGATTTTGAGGTATCTGAGTTATTTGTTTTTTTCCAGTGTAGAGGACAGTGAAATGACATACCCCCAGGTTTCCTCACATGCAAAGAGAGCAAGCAGGCCACGGTCAGAGATGAGCATGTGGTCTCTGACCCTCCACGTGGGGCTGGCGGGTCACCACCCTGAGCCATCAGGCATCCCACACCCAGACCCCACCTCTAGGCAGACCCCAAATCTCGAACAACAAGGGTTGGTAGTTCTGACACTCCACTTTTGAAAGGTGCCTGGAACAGTTTTATAATCACCAGGTGCCTTTTTTTCTCAGGACGCTTTGTTGCTCTCCCTACCTGGGAAAACAGTGTCCCTTCCATGCTTCCTGGCCTGGGAGGCCGTCCAGTTTCTCTTAGCTTATCAGATGGAGTGGGGAGAACAAGGACTGAAAAACATCACCGTAGGCCAGTGATGGCGAACCTTTTGAGCTCGGCGTGTCAGCATTTTGAAAAACCCTAACTTAACTCTGGTGCCGTGTCACATATAGAAATTTTTTAATATTTGCAACCATAGTAAAACAAAGACTTACATTTATTTTATTTATTTTATATATTTAAATGCGATTTAACAAAGAAAAATCAACCAAACAAATGAGTTCGCGTGTCACCTCTGACATGCGCGTCATAGGTTCGCCATCGCTGCCATAGGACTTTATCATCTCTGACATTTCGTGTTAACTTGAAAGCAGAATTTGCTTACTGCATTGTGGAAATTTGATGGGTTCTCATATGCACACTGGTCCTTTGGGCAGGAAACATTACAATTCAGGAAGGATCACCACCAGTTGTGCAGTCTAGATATAGTCTTGATTTTTTTAAAAACTCAAGTCCAAGGATTTTTCACCCACGTGATCTCATCTGCTTTTTTAAACTGGTTGTACGCGTTGCAAGTAGAGAGAGCTGGGTTTTGTTCTGCTTTCCAGAGGTTAGCCCATCTGTACGATACTCTCCACCGGGCCTACAGCAAGGTGACCGAGGTCATGCACTCGGGCCGCAGGCTCCTGGGCACCTACTTCCGAGTGGCCTTCTTCGGGCAGGTGAGCCTCTCCTCTGTTCTGTACGCTGGCCCCAGTCCCTTTTTTATTTTTCTCTTAACTCTATAAAGTTGTATTTTGTCAATTTTCTGCTCTCTATAAATGCTGATTTGATGAATTTGTCATGTTTAGTATGATTCTTCCTCAGTAGTAAACTTTCTGCTTTTCTTTTTTTTTCTTTCTTCCTGTTTTTTATTTATTACTTTCTTAAGGCAGCGGTAAGTTCTCCCTCCATAAGACTTTCTTAGTGGCATCTTTGGTACTTCATGTGATTTGCAAGTTTCCCTTTCAAGTCTATATGTATATCTGTCCAGTCATCACAGACTCCAAAAACATTAACATTTTATGTCATTGAGAGAAGTAAATCATCTGTTTGCTCATACATTTATACTGCATGTTTTAAACAAAAATTAAGACTTCCTGGTTTCTTTTGTCTACGTGTATCTCTACCTCTTGTAATATATCATCTCCACAGTATATTTACCATTGTAATATATTAGAAACCCCATATAAAAGGGTTCACTTAAATTTAACTGAATGTTTAACCTCCAAGACTCTAACATGATTAAATGATATAAATTATAATCCATTTATTTAGGTCATGTGGTTTTTCTATGAACATTATATAACCTTCAATTTATCCTGTTATTGTCTTTTATAACTTTATAGCAATACCAGTTTACAGACAGTGAAACAGATGTGGAGGTAATTACAGTCAAAGCTTAATAAGCAAATTATGTAGTGAAAGTACTGCATCTAAACTCCTAGTTTGATGTGGATGTTTTCTGTTTCATGTTAGCCTGTATATTTTTTTATATATATACACTATGTTTTTGGCACCATTTTTCCTCCTCTATTTTTAGATGAGAAATGTTTTGTTTTAATTTATTTCAAATATTAACCCCAATCTGGACTTTCAAATGTTCAACCTTTTTCACTTCCCATGCAATTCTAAGCCTTGTTTTATTCAGGCATGATTGGTGCTAAAATATTATGATAATGGAAATCTTGGAGATATGGCACCAGATATGACTGGTGAGAATGAAAATATTTTCTGATATCATGCTACAGCCCTTTAATATGTTCCCATCAGTAAAACAAAATAGAATTTACACAAACTTTACATAGTTTTTGCTGAACCTACCCCGGACCTAAAAGCTTCCTCATGTGCCCTAAAGTGCTGTCTGAGCCTCTCCCATTGATTTGTTTCTTGGGAATGTGAAACAGGCTTGAAGCCCATCGTCAGACTTCACCGAGAGAGCACAGTCTTGACTCCTCAGTCTCTCATTTCACTCAGCACTTAATGACGGCATTCTTGAACGCGTTTGCAGTTTTGTGTTTTAACTTTATCTTTGCACCCAGACTTCATGTTATTATCATTTTCCTTCCTGTTTGAAAAGCCTGTTTAATTAGGATTTTATTTTAGAATACTTTATTTTTTTAACCCTTATAATCCTTCCTGGGTGGTAGCTGTGGGGTTGTATTCAGTGATAGCTCTCTAATTGCACTCTATGTCACAGGGATTCTTTGAAGATGAAGACGGGAAGGAGTATATTTACAAAGAACCCAAACTCACACCTCTATCCGAAATTTCTCAGAGACTCCTTAAACTTTACTCAGATAAATTTGGTTCTGAAAATGTCAGAATGATACAGGATTCTGGAAAGGTAGGACCATGTTTGGAAACATTTTATGGCAATATAATATTGTTTTGGTTATGCATGATGGATCATATCATATAATACTAATAATTAGACCCAACGTCCTTCCGGATGACTTTCTGGATGAAGCCGGGGCTGTGAGGGAAGCCCGTGTCCCGGGTGCCAGAGGGAAGCCGGTGCCGGCAGCTGGGGGAAGGAAGGCCTACTCTTGCACGAATTTCGTGCATCGGGCCTCTAGTATATTCATAAGTGTGTATAGAAAAAAAACAAAGACCCAAGAAAAATTAAGAATGGTTGCCCTTGAGTGGCAAGTGTGTGTATTTTTTTCTTTTTTTCTTCTTAATACCTTCCTTTGCTTTCTAGAAATTCTTTATTAAGCAGATTTTTATTTTATAATTTTAAAGAGACATTCATTTACAAAATAATATCTGAAAGAATATAACTTTTTTAGTCCAGAAAGTTAGAAACCCTGTAAGAGGAGGGCCTGAGGTTCTGTTTCTCGTAGCACTTTCCCCTGCACCCCACACTGGGTTATCTATTAGCTGACACTCTGATTGGTGGATGTAGGGACAGCTGGACCAGCAGACGGACACATCAAGGAATGGACTAACTAGCCAGCACGTTTATAGGAATGAGACCTACCTTCTGTCTAGAGAGGCTGTCCTCTGCCGTATCGCTCTCATGAGGACCCTTTCTGAACCTGCTTTGTTTTCCCGGCACATTTCTGTGTCCCGCTGGTTCAGGATGTCTCCAGGAAGTGGGCTATCCCTTTGCTTCCTGAAACTCAGGCCAGGGTAGAGCTCCTGTTCTTGGCATTAAAAATGCTCCCCCTGCTCAGTTTGCAGCAATGACAAGCTCTCCCTCTCCTAAGCCCTTCAGGAGGCTCCCTAGTGCAGTGTCTGTCCTGGGCACCAGTGTCTGGAATCTTGGGGCCCTTCGTTTTCTCCAGAAAATAATCTTCCAGTCTCCTGCCCAGTGCTAGGGAGGGGAAAAGAAAAGGGGCGGGGCGCGATTCTGGATACTAGATGCAAGAGACAGGCACAAGCTGACATCCGAGTTTGGCCTGCAGCCTTTCACCTACTCGCCCTGTGTTCTACTCTGTACCTCACTCCTGCTTTCCGCTGACACTGGTGACCCAACTTAGACTTTTTCCAGACCAGTTTCTCCAAGGAGCATTTTCCTCTTGTGGGGCAAGGACTAGGGAAGGAACCTGGGGTTCCTCCACTCCAGATAGACTTGGGCCACCCGCCCTGGTTCCTGCCCCACCCCTCTCTGGGTCACCCCAATCCTAGTGCTGGTGCTCTACATTATCAGTCCGTTCAGGCTGCTGTAGCAAACCCCATAGACTGGGTGGCTTATACCCGACGGAGATTTATTTCTCACAGTTCTGGGGGCTGGGAAATCCAAGGTCAGGTTCCAGGAGATTCATTATCTGGTGATGTCCTTAAGGGTGGGAGGGGTGAGGGAGCTCTGTGGGGTCTCTTTATAAGGGGCACTAGTCCCATCATAAGTGTTCTACCCTCATGACCTAATCACCCCCATCCCACTAATGTCACCACATTGGAAGTTAGGCTTTCAGCCTGTGAATTCTGGGGGACACAGACATGCAGTCTGTAGCAGCAAGCTTCTCAGGGTGCTCTGAGTCACCTGTTACCCTTCTCTGTCGGAACTTGGATTAGAACTTCTTCGCTCTGCTGAATCAGATAGCACACCTCTGCTCGCCTACCTTCCAGAAATTGTAAACCCTCCAATTCACTGCTGTCTGCCATCCTCTTGTCTTGGTCCTCTCCTGTTAATTCTGTACTGTCATTTTAACAGATTGCACAAAGCAAAAGGGATAAACACATGTTGTTGGTCCACTTTTAACCAGGAACCTCAATACAACTGTATTAAGGCCTACTTTCTTCCTAGACCAAATTACTCAGGTCCAATTTGCCTTTCTTTCTGGAACTGAAACCTTTGTCTGGGTCAAGTTGCGACTTGAACATTATAGCCTTTTCTCAAGGTTCTCATGCATTCTTCCCCTTTTCACATGTAGTCCCTGATGTAGCAGCTGAGAGACTTTCTAGATCTTCTCTTCTCCTAACCACCAGGCCTCCGTTCCTTCTGCAGGAACTTATGTGCAACTTTGAAATGCAGACTAGGGAAACACCACTAAAACAATGGTCAGGAGTGTTTATTTCCACTGCTTTAACTGGTTTCTGCTGAAGGAAGTTAAGTTTAATAGGTTTGAATGCAATTAGTATAGTGATTGGCCAGATGGCCTTTTCTAAAATAGAAGTAACTCACAACTCTGTATTTCCTTAACTTCCAAAGGTTAAGGCGTTTTCACATCTGGTTTTCGTTTCTCTTCACAAACATCCCTAGGAGAATAGTGGTGCATGATAATTTGAGACCAGTAAAACTATCTTGGCCATATTCGTTTGCCTGTCCTGCTTCCAGTATAGTCTCCATGTTCTATGCCTTTCTTTCATGTCCCCTTTTATTTTTCTAAGAAGCTTGGATGCAATTGATATGTGCAAAATTGATTTGACTCCCTAATAAGTTAGCTGTTGATTGTCTATGGAAAATGCCTATGTTTAATTTTGTAGCATGTCCCGGAAGTTGGAGCACCACTAATTCCAGAAATGTTGTGAAAGTAATTATGTGCTGAGTTGACCAGGAACTAAACTTATGGTTAGATTAGTTTTAGATTAATCTATGCCTGTATTAAATTAATTCATCTACATCTGTTTGCATCTAATCTACCTCCAGATTAATTATAATTTCAGGAACTAGGTTTTATTTTTTTTTAATTTTTATTTATTGACTTTACAGAGAGAGAGAGGAAGACAGAGAGAAAGAGGATAGAGAGGGAAACATCGATTTGTTGTTCCACTTATTTATGTATTCATTGGTTGATTCTCATATGTGCCCTGACCTGGGATCAAACCCACAACCTTGTCGTATTGGGACAACACTCTAACCACCTGAGCCACCCAGACAAGGCAGTTGGGGACCTAGGTTTTAAATTTTTAGTAAAATAAATATTTAATGTCATGAAAAAAAATAGTGGGAAATTAAAATTATAGGTTAAACAAGACTAAAGAGACATAACATTAAATATAAAATGTGATTGTTGATTAGTTTCTGGTTCAAACACAAAGCTATAAATAACATTCTGGGGACATTTGAGACATTTTGATACAGACTGGGTATTGGGTGACATTAGGGAATTAGTGTTAATTTTGTTGGGTATGATAATGTATATTGGTTAGGAAGAGAATGTCCTCATGTTTAGGAGATGTTGGCTGAAGTATCATGATGTATACCACTTACTTTGAAATGGCTTAGGTAAAAAAACATCTATATGAATGTGTGTATGTGTGTGTATATTTAAAACAAATACAGCAGAGTATTAGCAATTGCTCTAATTGATGGGTATGTGGGTATTCTTTGTACTATTTTTTTTCCAACTTTTCTGAAATTTTCCAAAACTTTTACTAAGAAAAAGTGGGAAAATACAACATAGGCATGCTTTGACAACTAGCACCAATATTCCATTTCATTATTCATTTAAAGGTCAACCCCAAGGACCTGGATTCCAAGTATGCGTATATCCAGGTGACTCACGTCACCCCATTCTTTGATGAAAAAGAATTGCAAGAAAGGAAAACGGAGTTTGAAAGGTCTCATAACATTCGCCGCTTCATGTTTGAGATGCCCTTCACGCAGGCTGGGAAGAGGCAGGGCGGGGTCGAGGAGCAGTGCAAACGGCGCACCATATTGACAGGTATGGCTCATGGCATTTTTCGAGTTACATGATTCTACTCTCTTCTTCTCCCAGACCACAAGTTTATACCCAATGTCAGGTCAGGTCCCTCCTTAGAATCCGATGAAAACAGTGGCCCCTCCCTCCTCAGGAGGCTTTTGCTCACCATTTTAGGAGATTTACATACTCCTCTGAAACCCACCTGGACCCCTCTTGGGCCCATGGCACCCAGGTCAAGAACCCCTGCACTCAGTACCGTTTCTTCCTCACGGGAAGAGACCCCCGTGATCTTGGTCGCACAGGTCCCAGCCTGAACCTGCTCAGAGATGTATAGCTGAGTGAATAAATGGGACTTGAGGCTGCATCCCTCCCACCTGCCCTCTGAGAGTCGTTGGTCAGCTGAGCAACTCCAGTTCCAGGGTCCTCGCTGCAGTCAGAGGCCGCCTGTTCAGCTGTTGCCGAGTTGTAATCCTTTGGTGCTGTTTACCACCCCTAACCCATTCTCAAAAACGTGTTTTGCACCATTTCCAAGTTCCTAACAAGCGTAGAATCATATTAGGAATGATTTTTACCTTCTTTGAGGGAGCTTGACTCATCCCTTCTTAGGTTAGGGTCAGCAACACGACTACAGTAACCTAAAATAAAACACTTTCTTGACTTTTAAAAAAAAATCAGTGGGGAGGCCCTTTCAGAAGGCCAGGTGTGTCTGTGCCCACTGCCTAGGCACGTTTTCCAAAGGGTGGCCATAGTTCAACTGAGCCAGGAAGCACCCACTTTTTTTGTGTAGAGTCAGTGTTGCCCAGTGCCCCACCTGGGCGAGCTCGTGCACATTACAGTAATAATGGAAGAGCACTGTACGGTGCTGCATCGCGGGTGACGTTCCGCCCCCACCACTGGAATGTACACTTTAAGTGGGTGAATTCTGTGGGATATGAGTGATACCTCAGTAAAGCCGTTAAAGAAAGAATACAGCTCATTACAAAACAGCTCAGAACAGCATATTGCAGAGAATTTTTCACTCTTTCTACAAGGAACCTGGGATAAAAGTTTTAAAAAGATTTTTTAAATCTGCTTTCTTAAAGAAAGGGTTTCTACCCCCGCTCTTAGAATAATAACATTACATGTAACGCACAAGCAATATCGTCTCTTCCCATACGTCATGAATTGTTTTTCTAAGGGACACAGTAGCACATGCTTCTTAATAAACAAGATAACTACATTTCCAAACAGAGTCATTTTATGGGAATTATCAACTTAGGTTGTTTGTCACTGTAGTTGTGATAAATCAGTGCTTATCAAAGGTTGTTCCTGGGTCTGCATCATCAGCATCGCCTGGGAACTTGTTAGAAATGCAAATCCTCGTGCCCCACCCAGACCTATGACTCAGACACTGTGGGGGTAGGGCCCAGCGAGTTGTGGTTAACAAGTCCTTCAGTTGATTCTGATGCCACTCAAGTTTGAGAACTGCTGCTTTAAATAAACCTCATTCCCTGATGAGTCAGGGTCAGGATTTTTATTATGATTATTCCGCTCAGGTGGCATTCTGATTCATAAAGTTATTACCAGGTGTTTTCCTTGGGCAGATTTTCTCGGGGGTTACCACTTGGTCACAGAAGGATTTTAGATTAGATAAACAAAGGGAGTAAAGCTCTGTGCCTGCAGGAACAGAGGGGACGTCCCCAAGAGTAACTCTACACATGTCTACTGCAGTGGAGGCAGAGTAGACACGTGTGCTGCTGGCTCGGGAAACAACCACCTTACACAGCTGGAGGCTGAAAAGTGTGGGCAGTGCAAAGCCTGAGTCCTGCAGACCGGGTCACATCCTCGTTGTGTGACCTTGGGCAGGTCACTTAACCTCTCTGTGCCTTGGTTTCTTCCTCTGTAAAAGGAAAGTTATACTTTCCATCTCATATTAAACATTTTGTATATCATGCCCAGGAGGGGAAAGAATGAACTTCATTTTACTAAATCTCACCTTGCCTCTGAGGTTGATGATGACCAAAAGGGGATTGTTGTAAATAAAGCACAAAAACAAGAGTGCACTTTTTGCCATGAAAAGTCTTAAGAATATTGAAAAGATAGTTACTGGGCAGTGTAAAGATTTAGAGATTTAGTAGCATAAAAATACTACTAAAGCCCTAGCCTGTTTGGCTCAGTGGATAGAGTGTCAGCCTGCGGACTGAAGGGTCCCAGGTTTGATTCCGGTCAAGGGCACATGCCCAGGTTTGATCCCCAGTGGGGGGTGTGCAAGAGGCAGCTTATCAGTGATTCTCTCTCATCATTGATGTTTTTCTCTTTCTCTCTCTCTCTCCTTCTCCCTTCCTCTCTGAAATCAATAAAAGATATTTTTTAAAAAGATTAAAATGCTACTAAAAACATGTAAATTCTATACAACCTTTAGTTAAAGAATATCCTGAAAGACTTTGAACTTGAGAGTTTTCCCTCATGTTATTAATCTCTTAGGTTCTTCTGTCATTGCATTGCTTCAAGCCTGACCTTTAGCCTTCCAAGATACGGGAGAGCCCTAGGCCTCCCTGCCCTCTGAGTCCAGCACACACTCACTTTTCAGGATAGTCCAGGCAACTGACATTTGTGTTCATTCAAAAAAAACCACCCAGTGATCACCCACCTGGCCCTTTGGTGTGCATTTCTGAGCCTCCCTCCCAGCATGATCCCCTTTGTTTCTTTTTTCATAGAACTTCCTAACAAATATAGAATTATATTAGGAATGATTTTTACCCAATCACTGGAGTTTCTTTCCAATCACTATTCCATAGTTTCCCAAATCATGCTTAGATTCCCACTCAGGTTGGAATCTTCTACTCAGTCTAAGCAGATGGACAGTCACTCCTCAGCCGTCTCTTCCTCACCTTCCTTCTTAAAGAGCTGCAGATCACTAGACATGGCTCGCTGAGTCTGTCACTTAATTTTCCACCTTCCGAGCCACTTTGCGCTTTCACTTAGCCATTTTGGCAGCAATACAGTCATTAACCCATCAAAACTGATTGCGTACAGGTGGTGTTCCACGTCAGCATGCTAACAAAACAAAGCTCCGGCTGTGCAGATGAGATGCTAGCAGGAGACAAATGATAAACAGAAAGCAGTGCATACATATACCCATGGTGGAAGGTGGTGTGTGTTCCGGACAAAAGGAAAAGGAGATTGGAAATTTGGGACCGAGGGGGTGGACTGTGGTTTATGTAGGGTGATAGGGTAGACCTCATTGAGTACAAGGCCAAGGACAGGTGTCTTCATGCCCTGCACATTCAGGGGACGGCCAGCAGGGGGGTGTGATGGAGCTGAGGAAGAGGAGGAGAGATGAGTCCAGC